TCATCAATCGTAATTCACGAACGTGAAACTGACATCCAACGAGCGCGATTCGAGGCGAAACGATATATTGTAAATAAATGATAGAAAAATCGAAGAAAGAAAGAGAGAGGAGAGAGAGAGAGAGAGAGAGAGAGAGAGAGAGAGAGAGATGAGAGAGAGATGAGAGAGAGATGAGAAAGAATGGTAAATAAGAGAATATGAATGAGAGAGAGAGAGAATGTGAGAGAGAAAATGAAGATGCATTAGGGAAAAAAAATTAGAGTGTAAGTGTTCGATCGTAGAACTTATAAATTATAAACACAAAATCATATTACATCAGAATTGGAGTATTACTCGTGCTAACTGCCGAGAAAGGGACATATTAAAGGGACATAAGCGTGTCCTCGCGTTTGTGTCGTTTTGTTAAAGAAGAATTTAAAAAAAAAAAAACAAGAAAAAAAGAGGGAAAAAGAGTTGGTAAAAAAAAAAAAAGAAAAAAGGAGTAAATAAAACAGAGGCTCTCCTAGTTACTTGCTCATTGAAATAATATTCTAAATAACGTTCGTAACGGAACAAAAGTCTAGATACGCATCAGTATAATGAGAAATAATTTTACGTATATATGTATAAGTAAGATTCACATTCACGCGCGCGCGGCTGCAGTCATGCGCGCGCACACGCGCGCCATTTTTTTTTTCTTTTCAAGCTATGGATGCCCTTAATCTTATCGGTAATCCATATCAATCTCTAATCTCCGCGAGTTGTTCCGTAAAAATGTAGAATATATCGAAAGGTTGTAATATTTTAACGATATTTTCGAGTAATAGCTACTGTTAAAAAAAAGAAAAAAGAAAAAAAAAGAAAAAAAGAAAAGAAAAAGAGAGAAAGATACAATTCTTCCCTCCCTTTATCGATACTTATTATAAGTTTACGCTTTCTAACAAAAGGATATTAATATAGCAACGGTGGAACTTCAACTTAATCGAGAAATAGAAATTGTTAAAGAAATATAAATAAATATTGAAAGTAGACATCAGAGTAGAATCACTTCGCAATATTGGTGCTTTTTAACTACGGAAAAACAAATATTTCTAGATTCCACAATAAGAGCATAACACATGTTTCTAATTATGATTACGATGACGTATGGCATGTTTTTGATTCAAATAATAAGTATTTTGAAAAATCAACTCTGTTAATTGAGGACCCACTGTATTTATGATGCAATTTATTTCTTCAAATTGCACAATTATTTGTAAATCCATTAAAGATAAAAAAAAGAAAAGATAGCTTTAATTAAAAAAATATATATATAAAATTATTCATATAATGTTTTATAAATTACGTTTTTAAACGTACCAATGAAGTATTCGATAGAAATGCGGTGGCGTGCGCGTGCCTGCTCGCCGCTATGCGTTCACGAAGGATCACGATTTCTATACATTAAGGTCGATCGCTGTACGCCGTACAATTTACAGTGAGCATGTACGGCTTGTAAACAATTACAAGCTTGTAGCGGAAAAAAATAAAAAGAAAAAATATGCACTCGAAACCACCAGAAGCATAATCGTCTTCAAATGGCGGTAAATATAATTATAAATTGTTACAAATATAACGCAAGAGAAAATCGTATCGTTGCATGACCGATATACCTAAATGAAACTATTACTACGTGATACGACATTATTATGTAAAAGTTTTTATTGCGTGAGTAAAATTATGTTATGGATAAAAATGTGTACCTTATGACTAATAAATCTCGTCCTTTTCTTCGTGCATCGAACACACTACCGACCAAACAATATCCTTTCACGCATTTCAATCAGAATTTGACAATTTGATCGATCTTCTTTGATTCCCAATAACTATTCACATTTTATCTATAAAAAAACTTTTAATTTTCAAATTTTATACACTTATTAATTAATTAGAACATTTTTTTATAAAATAATATTATTTTTTAACGGAGAAAAACAATTTCGAATACACAATTTGAACGATACATACGTTATTTTAGAAATGACGTTAAAATCTATCCTTTTTAGGTCACGTGACTTACTCCTACTATACCCGACGAAGGTAATACGAGTACCAAATGTTTATTTTTGCCAATAGATGGCAACATAATTTAAAGTCAACATAATTCTTACATCAAAAATGCTTATTATTAAAAATTAACTTTATTTCACCAATAAACCATATCTGATTTTTAAATTCATATATTTTTTTATTTCTTTTCCCAAAATATAAAAAATATAGATATTTTTAATGTTTTAGATTTTTCCACAAATTTTATTCTCATTTCAATCAATACTTTCACATACATGTTATATGTATATATATATATATACATATAAATTTTTATACTTGTGTAAAATCAATTTAAAGTGATTCATTTAATATACTATTTAATTTAAATATTTATTATACTTCAAAGAAAATATACTTATAGAACATAAAAATTTAAAATAATTATGAAAATATATATATATATATATCCACATTACATATTCATATACTTATGTAGATCAGAAAAAATTTAAATCAAGTATCAATTTAAAAATGATTAGTTGATAGAATATTTTAGTAATCGTTTGTTTTTTTTTTTATTTTTCTAGATCTTTAAATATTAAAATTATTTATATCATAACCAATAGTATTGTTTTAAATTGCAAAAAAAAAGTTAAAGTCTTCCTAACCTTCTTTTTTATAGCACTTGCTACACAAAAATAAATATATGTATCACAATTATAATAACTGTTTCACTTATTTGTTCAATCTGATTTTTAAAGATGCAAAAACACAATATTGTATTCTCACTTTTATTCATTTTACATTGCTTTCATAAAATAAAATCAAGGTTAAGGACATTCACTCGAACATTCTCGTATTTCATATTCATTATTTCTATGTAAAATCATTAATACATTGTATATATATATATATATACAATATTCACGGTATAATATTTAAAAACATTGAAATATATCATA